TTCTTTGCCAGGGTTAAGTACAGACAGTCAAAAAGCCCAAGGCTGAATCAGTTCAATCTTTACAGGTTAGTCTAAGCTGCATAAATTGAACCAATAAACAAGTGAACAGACATTTACTTTTGATTCCAGAAATGCAGCCGCATGCCTGCCCAAGCCAGAAGCCAGGGGGCAGTAGAGGACACCTCTTTGCTTGGCTGGAGCAGACAGCTTGGGCCAAGCCTAGTCCATCTACTCTGTGCAAAGCATCCTGGGATGCTGGGGGCCTGTGAGTTAACTTGAATCTGGAAGGGATCTGGGACAGAAGTTCAATAAACTAACCTAAATCAGTTAAGTCTGATGCTATATCCATCCAGGTTTATCTAAAACCAGTTTTGGCCATTTTGAAAGTGGTTTGTGTACACTGAACTTCTGTTGTGTTACAGATTTGAACCAGTTTCCAATCACTTATACCAGTTTGTGTTTAATTTCTGTCCCTAGCCTAGGGTAACAAACCTGGGAGAATTCTCCCCGGTTGTTTGAATGTATGTATGTAGCTACAGTTCCAGCCTCCAAGAGTATGTCAGTGCCATCTAAGAGCTTTACTAGGAAGCACTGCAATGAAGCACACCACTTCTACTTGTTGCATGCTGCAACCTGAAATGGAGTTAATGTGGCTTTCATTAAGATGGCCATGCTCCAATACAGGAAGGAACCAATACCAGGGCAGGAAGGAACTGGTTAGCATGGACCCAATGCCACATTTTCCTCCATTTCAGTGGGTAGCAGGTTCAGACCAGGCATGCTATGCACTACCATGGCATTCCTGAGTGGTCCACTAATGATGTAGGTATTTACAAGCTAAGACAGAGACAACAGCTAGGCAAAGGCATACAGCACATAAAGTACAAAATATGCTTTAAAATAAGTAAAAGTACTCAAAGTGACCCCTATGAAGCTTATTAAAGCTATGCAAAGCAGTTATACACCATTTTAAAATACTACAAAATATTTACAAAACTGAAAACTATGGACAGCTGTTATAACCAGAGAGAAACTGGCAACTCTTCTTCCAATGTGAGCTAGAGTTGGTTGAGATGTATCAGTTCTTAGGTTCTGATTTTCGTGTGTGCATATGCATATATGTTAGCTTGTTTAGGGTAAGCTCACACTCCCTGCACATGCACGTTTCCAAATAGTTCTACTAACCATGAAGGGTAACAATTAAAAAAAAAAAAAGTAGCTAAGTGGTGATACATTGAGTAAGACCATTAGCAATTAAAAAAAAGCCATGTTAACCTATAAAAAAGACAGTACTCCTTAGCTGTTTATGGATCTTTTCATCATTTCCACTCTTATCACAACGAACAAATTTAAGCATCCTTTACCAGCCCCCTTTCAAGGCCAAACTGAAGGCACATGTGGGAAAAGTGAACAAAGAGGGATCCAGGACAAGAATCACAGGTGGAGGAAGCAGAGAGCAGAATATAAGTGAATATTTAGGGAAGACAATCATTATGAAGGACTTTACAGATGAGGGAAAATTCTTATGCTCAAGGTGGTGGAATACAGGTAGACAGCCAGATGAGGGGCAGGCAGCCAGATGAGAGCAACAAGCATTGATGATGATTTGACTATTGTGTGTTGACTGGACATGGATCATGAATGGTGTGAGCCCCTGGGAAGCTAAAGGGGGAAGATACAGTAATCTGGATAAGATGAGTTGATGGATGAAGGTTTAGTTGTAGAGAGTAAACAAAAAAGATCAGAACTCATAAATCTTGAGGAGGAAGAAAATAAAAGTAATTGGACACAATCTGGATGTGTGTGACAAAGATGACCACCAGTTCCCTAGGCTGAGAACCTTAGTAATGTTCTGATTCAAAGGCATGATACAGATCCTAAAATTGGTTTAGCGGCAACAGTGGTAGATTTACCCCTGCCTGAAGTGGGACTAATTTGTCATGCTTTCAAATGTCTGCTTTTCATTGCACAGCCTGTTTGCTTGTAAAGAGCTGCCATGCTATAATTTGTGACATGGGTAGACCAGGGCAAGCAGGGCAGCCACCCCACTTTGGCTGCAAGTGCAGGGGTGCATGAGCTTTCTAAGCTCACCAGCTAGTTGGTGCAGGCACTGGCCAGGGCCCCTGCCTTCACACAGCTCCAGAGCTCAAGGGGTTCCTTTAATTAGGAGCTATTTATCATAGTGTGAGGATAAATTGCATAAACATCCCCCAAAAAAGTTATTTTGTTTCTTTTTTTTCAATATAAAGTTAACAGGTGGTTTTCCAGAAGTGAACCAGTAAAGGGTGTGCACTAAGGGAAAAGAGAGTTTCCAGATTTTTTTTTAAACTGAGCTGTTATCACTGAACTATTTACCTAAAAATGTGCTATTCCATCTGTATTATTGCATTGCTAACAAAGGTAAAAGTAACTCACATTAATAATTCTTCTGGTATTATTCCATCGAGGGGGCCATTGTATTTGGATCTTCCTCTTTGACCCAGCGTAACAGACCGTGAAGCAGCTAAGAATCAAGTCTACCAAGGAGGTTGAGAGCCAGGGTTTTCAGGCAACTTGCTTTCCTTCTCTTATCCTTCCTTTGGAACATTTTATTTTTAATGTTTTGCAGCAGGAAAATGTTCCACTTGAAAACTTCTAATCAGCTTCAGTGCTTTGGTACAAACCAGACCGGGAGTCCGATGAAGATTATAACTCCAGACCACCTGTCTTACCACACTTACTACCTGAATGCCACACTGACCTTCAGTAAACCATTGCAAATATGAGGCTGCGCTCTACCACGAATTGCTATCCTGTTTCTTTAAAAAAAATGTTTTGCCTTTTAGGTCTGTCAGTGGAAAGAAATTGTGTTCTTCCTGTGGGCTTCCTCTCGGAAAAGGAGCTGCCATGATTATTGAAACTCTTGGTCTTTATTTCCACATTCAGTGCTTCAGGGTAGGTCTTTATTATTATTCCCCTGGCTGATGAAAAAGATTCCAGTAACCATTTTCTATTTTTAGATACTTATCCAAACCAGATCATTGACTCTGAGGTTTTCCTATCACATAGGGCTCAGTTCAAGAATTCTGTCTCAGGTGGTAGACACCCAAACAAATTAATATGTGGCAAGTCGGGTTGTTCTGATTCAAAGGCATGATACAGATCCTAAAATTGGTTTAGCTGCAACAGTGGTAGATTTACCCCTGCCTGAAGTGGGACTAATTTGTCATGCTTTCAAATGTCTGCTTTTCATCACACAGCCTGTTCACTCGTAAAGAGCTGGCATGCTATAATTTGCTTCAGGTTTGTGCCTCAAGCTTTGCCTCCCTGTCCAGAGTCTAAGTACCAATAAAATCAATGGGCATGATTAAGTTTTAACATAATTTTTTAAGTAAAAACTTCCAAGTTCAACCCTTAAATATTAACCTGCTCTAAAAACCTCATATTAGGCTGCAGGTGTGCTTTTCCTTTTATCTCATACATGACTCATGAAATGAGCATCAAAGCATTAGAAAGAACTCAAAATAGCAAAAGAAATCCCATGCCATAAACCTTTTCCTCTGTCGTCTTCTTCATTCAATAGTGTGGCATTTGTAAGGGACAGCTGGGAGATGCAGTAAGTGGAACAGATGTCAGGATTAGAAATGGTCTTCTCAACTGCAATGATTGTTA